GACAAACACCGAAGGACTTGCACCCTCAGAGGATTTAGGGTCTCCTAGACCGTACAAAATTCCCGATATGTCTCACTCGGAGTATATCATACCTGTCCGGTTCGTCTGGTTGCACCAGCCTTAAATGAACTGTACATACAATATCGTGCCTGCAAATAAAACAAACTTAACAGGTACAATGTGATTAACAACGTGCACAATAATATACTTGAAAATGCGTGACAACGCAAAGCAAGTGGGAAGCATAACAATGCTATGAAGGCACAAACATGTAAGTGGAGCACGCGGTCTACGCAAGCAACGAAATTGATCATAAGCATACGGTCTACGCAAGCAATGACATTGAACATAAGCATGCGGTCTACGCAAGTAATGAACTTGAACAAACATGCGGTCTACGCAAGCAAAACATGCGGTCTACGCAAGTAATGAATTTGAACAAACATACGGTCTACGCAAGCAAAACATGCGGTCTACGCAAGTAATGAATTTGAACAAACATGCGGTCTACGCGAGCAAAACATGCGGTCTACGCAAGTAATGAAATTTGAACAAACATGAGGTCTACGCAAGCAAAACATGTGGTCTATGCAAGTAATGGAATTGATTATAAACATGCGGTCTACGCAAGCAAAACATGCGGTCTACGCAAGTAATGGAATTTGAACAAACATGCGGTCCACGCAAGCAAAACATGTGGTCTACGCATGTAATGGAATTGATTATAAACATGCGGTCTACGCAAGCAAAACATGCGGTCTACGCAAGTAATGGAATTTGAACAAACATGCGGTCTACGCAAGTAAAACATACGGTCTATGCCAGCAAAACATGCGGTCTACGCAAGTAATGAATTTGAACAAACATGCGGTCTACGCAAGTAAAACATGCGGTCTACGCCAACAAAACATGCGGTCTACGCAAACAAAACATGCGGTCCACGCAAGTAAAACATGCGGTCTACGCCAGTAAAACATGCGGTCTACGCAAGTAAAACATGCGGTCTACACCAGCAAAACATGCGGTCTACGCAAGCAAAACATGCGGTCTACGCAAGTAATGAATTTGAACAAACATGCGGTCTACGCAAGTAAAACATGCGGTCTACTCAAGTAATGAATTTGAACAAACATACAGTCTACGCAAGTTATGAAATTGATTGAATGCATGGAAAATGCAAAGAGATGCGGAAAACCGCGCGATGCGTTTTACACAACGCGAGCGCACAAGACAGTGCGATTGATATGCGATATGCATGGGGAAACTTTTGAGTTTCGTGAAAGCCAAAAAGCATATGAAAAGGATACACCTTGCACGAATTCGAGTACCACGCACAGAAGACACGACCCGAGGTCAAAACGGAGGCCGGTTCAGTGTCGGAGATGCACTTTCTTGTACTTCTTTGAGCTATGAAGACCCAAAACTACAGATTTGACCCAAACAAGGATGCAGAAGGCTCACCGGCCAGAAGAGGAGGCCACCGGCTGTCCATCGGCCATCAATACATTCCACCGGCCAAATATTTGGCCGACTGGCAAAAAAAGCCTGAATCGTGACAAATTTGACTTTTCACCTCGGGTCTTTTAAAATAGGGTTCCAAACCTTATTTTACACATCCTCCTTAGCCGAAAATCCATTCCCTCTCTCTCTAGAGCATTTTTCTCTCTTCTTTTCTCTGTTTCTTTGCGTTTCACGCCCGTTTGGTCGTTCGATTCGCGTATATCTTCGCGTTCCGAACATTTTCATCCGAATATTTCTTCGTTTCGGTGCTTCCTTTGCTATTTCCAGCTTTTGGGATTTATTTCCCTTGAGTTTCTCTCGACTTGCGTGCCTTTTTCACTTCCCAGCTTCTCGGGCCACTTTTTACCCTCTCGGGTTGACTTTCTGGTTGACTTTTCACATTTTCGCTCGATTTTCCCTTTTTCGGCTATTTTTTCACCATTTTTGACATAGCCGACGATATTCCACAGGGCGGGACTCCCTCGGATCACGAGATGGATCCCGGGGTTGAGCTCCTCCCATTGAGCGTCCGCCCGTTGGACCCGGCGACCTACCGACCGACGATTCATGTGCTACCTCCTGACGGACTTCGCCAGTTTCGGAGTTTTGATAGAGCGATGCCACCAGAGCTTCTCCTGCGTGAGCCTACATCTCACTTACCCTTCGGCGCTTCCGAGGTAACATTCCTTTCTCTGTTTTATTTTCTGCAATGTAGAATATAAAAACTGCCATAGCTGATTACATTCTTCAACTGCTTGACTCAGATACACAGACACACTGTGCACTGTAGTTGATCGCAACCGTACTGGCAACTGATATCTGTTTGAGGTTGACATGTGCACACACACTGCGTTGGCCCTGAATCACTCAAACACACCAACACAGTATACACTGCACACACTGTAGTTTATTGCAATCACACCAATACCCGATATCTGTTTGAATCTAAAAAACTTGCACACGTGCTATATTTGTACTGAACCACGCCAACACGCTGACACATCACACGTTGTAGTTCACTATAAGCACACCAGCACCCGGGATCTGTTTGAATCTGAAAAACTTGCATGCATGCTATATTTGTACTGAATTCTGAATGCCCTTCAAAACTAGATATTCAGTATTGCCTCGCAATTATTTGTTTGAAAAAAGGGAGATTCCCATACCGTCCGCAGGTATGGGAACATTGCCGCTCGGGACTGGTATGCTGAGCTTCCCGACGCGGTTCGCCACATTGTGGACCAGGCGGGCTTCGGTGCTTTCTGCAGGGGATTATCCAGACTCACCGCGAGCAGGCCTCTCCTTGCCTCTCCAAGCCTAAAACATGCTAGAACAACGGTTTATAACCTAAGGCATGTTAAGGCAACAAAGTGGCATTACAAGGCATGTATGCTAAGCAAGCATGGTGTACCAAAACCAACTAAAAATAGAGGCATACTATGACATAATAAGCACAAAAATCAGCTAAGGCATGGTCAACAAGAGCCTAAGCTAGGTGCTCCCTCAAGAGGCCAAAAATGGTCCTTTTCAAGCACAACAAGGAGAGGGGGTGGCCCTCTCCTTCTTGGGACCTCAAAGGCACCATCCTCACCTCTGAAATCCCTCAAGATTTCAGTGGTGAGGAGGCCTAAACACTAAGGTCTCGGAGCTCACTCAAAATAGCACAAAATGGAGCCTTACAAGGCTTAAGAGGGGTCAAAAAACCTCAAATCACAAAACACTCTAAACAAACTATTTAGAGGGCCTAAAAATAGAACTTTTTTATGTTATATGCAAAGCCAAAAAACAGTTGCAAGATAGGTTAAAAAGCTAAGCAAGAAAGGGGAAAAAAAAGGGGAAGATTATTACCCTTGAAGATCTCTTTCACAAATGAAGCTCCAGCAGCTTCTTGAGCTCCAAACTAGCTCCAAAACTCTGAAAACAATCCATTAGAACCTCAATAGCCAATGGAAGGTGTAATGGTAGGTGTTTGTGTGCAATACTATGAACAAATACACCTTGAACACTCAAGAGAGAGAGAGATATAGAGATAGAATATATATAAGCTCTAACCCTAGAACCAGAGCTTCTAACAATGTTTTTCTCTCTAAAATGTCTAACCCTAAAGCCAAGAGAGGAGGGCTCCTCTTATAGAGAAGCCAATCTTGTAAAGCTTACTCAAGAAGCTAACAAGGAAGCCATCCCTCCATACACGTGTATGGAGGGGAACAAAATGCAAGCCAGTTGTATTAAAATATCTGCACACTACAACAAAAATAGTCTTTAGAGACGAAAACTAATGACGAAATATTTTTTTGTCACAAAATATATATCTTTTAATGACGAAAATCATATTTCGTCTTCAAATGTATCATTTTCAGAGACAAAAATAAAATTTCGTCACCAATCTAAATCATAATAAAAAAAATAGGTGACGAAATTATATTTCGTCATTATTTATATTTTTTTTTGTCACCAAATATTTCCCGCTAATATTTTCGGAGGGCGCCAAAATTAATAGACTTTTGGTGACGAAAAAATTTGTCACAAATTATAAAATTATTAATGACAAATATATTTTTGTCACCAATAATTTGGTGATATTTTAATATCATTTAGTGACAAAATTATTTTTGTGGCCAATATTTTTATTTTTGGTGAAGAAATAATTTTGTCACCAAAATATAATTTGGTCACTAAATATTTTAGGGTGAAATAAAAATGTTTTGTTACAATCGGTTCCTCTTCTCAATCACACACAATATCATTTCTCGGTTCAAACCTATTTCTCACACACACACACACACACACACACACACACGCACGCACACAGACGTCTACACAGGGCCCTCACAGCCGCTGCTCACATTGGATCAACCCACCGCCGCTCTACCATTTCTGATAGCCCTCACCGCCGACAGCCCTCACCACCGCCGCCGTTAGCCCCTCCTTTCCTCACCGCCGCTGCTGTGCAGATCGAAGAACACCGTTGTTAGTCTCTCTCTCTCTCTCTCTCTCTCTCTCTCTCTCTCGATGCTTAAAGGCTATGGGTGGTTTTGCTTGTTGATTACTTTTTAATTTACTCAAAATGGAAATTTTATGATTGTTTTGATCAATTCGATGTAAAAAGAAAATGAAATTTTGCTTTATTTTTTGTGTTAGTTTTGATTTGATCCCTTCTGCCATTAGGGTTTAGTTGGAATGTCATTAATTTTTTTGCAAATTTATTTACTTTAGAGGTTATCTCTACTGATATCTGAGGCTGTGGGTGATTTTGGTTGTTAATTACAATTTAATTTACAGGAAATTGGGGTTACGATTATGGGTGCTTCGATGGATTTGACGGAAAGACTTGTGTTTCAAGCCACAAACTGTTTGTTAATCACTTGTGTTTCCCTTTTGTTTGATATATGGTCATTGAAAATTAAAGACTCTCTTGCTCTAGTACACAAACAGTTTGAGGCGGTCATGCTTGGATACAACTGCCATACGCATCCTAATTCCTCATTTTTGCTTGGCAGGTGTCTTAATGATAATCAGTTAACTGGAAAAATCCCAAGGGAGCTCACTGGTATTTCCAGCTTGAAAGTTGTGTAAGTGAAAAACCTTAGTGTTTGAATTATTAGCACTAGATTCATTGTGACTTAGTGTCAAGACATCTGAATGATTTTGCAGAGATGTCTCAAACAACTTGTGTGGAACAATTCCTACTACAGGTCCATTTGAGCACATCCCATTAAACAAGTAAGGTTTCCTTGATTCATATAGTTCTGCAATTTATTTTTTCTTGAAGTTCGTTGAACTCTCTCCAACAGGGAGGGAAAAAAAGAAGGAAGAACTTTAACTCAAACTCAAACAAAAATAGGTGATTGCAATGTTTACCATGTAAGTCTACTATATTGGCTCTTTCCAGAGAATCTAGGAGATAAACCTCATGGGAACATTTTCTATGTTATTCAAGCCTCATTACCTATCCAAAAAAACAAAGGAAGAAGAAAGCTTTTCTAGATGAAAGTGAATTGTTAAGTTATATAGTGTGCCTTGTAGTGATAGAAAGTGTCATCTATGGCACATAGCTTCCTTGTTTTGCAGCCAAGTGAGCATAATACATATGCAGATATTGAAGCTGTGTATAAGTGTCATGTATCCTGTGAAGCGTAGATCATCTGTTTATCTATACTATTATTTTGATTGAAAGATTATGCATTTTTTTTTTGGGTCTAATTAAATGGTGTTTGTGTTGACTGTGTGCAGAACATTGACAAAATCCCATATGTTAATTGTCCTGTGCTGATTATTCATGTAAGTATGCAATTTTCAACATTTTACCTTTTAGAATTACTTATGGTAATTGAAGAACCATTCTAATACAGTTTTTAGACAATTAAGCCATTGTATAAGCTAGCATGAAACTCTTACCTTCTTTATCTGCCTTGCTTCTTTGTTTCTGTGTTTTTGTGGGTACATGTATATGATCATAACCACGGACTTGGATGACTAAGATCTTATGACTTGATGGCTATAGTTGAGAGTTTTCCATGGTATTTATCACATCCTCTCTAAGATACTTAACTGGTTTTAGAGAGAGATCCTCAGAAGAAGACAAATCCAAACTATAACCAAGACACATGATGTCCAAATTAGTTCTTAGTATTGTGGCTCTTATTTAATTGCTGGTTTCTGAACTTCGGCTTAGGTTAGGACACTTTTAAACTTCACTATTTCATCATAAAATGTTTGCACATTATAAATAGAACCTTGATTGTACTGTTATCTATTATCAGTTTCCATACTTGCTTTCACACTAGTAAATATTTTCTAGTTGTACTGGATGTGGCATTGATAGTAAATATTAGTGATTTAATCTTAACCAACTTTTTGATTATTTTTCATCAAAAATTCTTACCAGCGTTATCAATTGGACTAAAATTGACACAAAATAAAAATAAAAAAAGATTAAGAATCAAAATTGAGCTAATTAAAAATTTAAGGACCAAAATGACACAAGAAATAAAATGCAGGAACTACTAATATAATTTGTCCTTTGGTAAACTATAAGAAATGTGATAAATGCATTTTTGTTTCATCCCAATAGTGCTTAAAGCTTCACCCCGACTAATCTTCGGATATATGTAATTTCCCATTTCACATATACCAAGTAATTATCGAGCCAAAACTCTGAAAGTAACTTCAAAGGTGGAGTGAGGAATGAAATTTTAAACTATTGGTCTACCCTAAATGTTGGAATACACGACATCTCTCATAAGAGTTAGAAAGTCTATGAGAACTAGTAAATTAGTTTATAATCAGTGAACTGAACGTAATCAACTTATAAGCTTCTTCTAGTGCATGAGCATGACACTAATTAAAGAACTTTTGGGAAACTATAATAAATAGTGTAATACATCATTCACATTTTGTCCTTTAATGAGGTTGAAGATAGAGAGAATAGAGAGAGGAGTGTAATCCCCCTTCACATGGTCCATTCCATATCATTAGAAATGGATTGGAGGTACTCAATTAGAACTGCCAAATATTTTTCATCAAATATATAATAATCAAACTTATAAAATCTTGTGCACTAGTGCATGCATGGGTATGGCACTAATTAAAGTGAACTTTTGGGAAAACTACAAAGAGATAATAATATAATATAATGGCAATAGTTTTGAAGGTGATTGACGCATATATAATAAAACAAAACTTAAGGGCCACCACCACCACTACCAAAAATAAAAAAGAACCAAACAGGTTTGTAGTGTTGGAGATATTAGTAATACTCACTAATGGTTTAAATGCTTAGATTTGTTGTTAATATGATATGTGAGCAGGTAATAGATTTTACATATAAATTTCGCTATCTACTCAATAATAATATCTTCTTTATGAAACGTGTTGAGCATATAAATAATAAAATTGCCGTTCAAACTTTAGACGAATTAGTCATTAATTGATATAACCCAGAAGTTTATCTGTCAATTTCTAATTGGTTTTGCGTCTATGGTATGTTGTCTACAAAACTCTAAACTCTCTTTTCACATAAAAACAACTACTTTTGCTTTTAAAAAACAAGAATATGGGGTTTGTCGGTCAGGCCGGAGTTCCATTCTATTTTGTTTTCTTGTATGTATTTGAGGGACTAGACCATATGTTATTTGGACTTGTGTGATTCTTATTGTAGACTTTTTTTTATATTGAGTTAAAGTTATTTGTTGTTTTTTTTTTTTTGGTATGATGCTTCAGGTTGAATCCTCCAAATATTATTACAATAAGTAGGTTTACAATTCATTGATTTAAAAGTTCATATATAAGGTATATATGTTGAATTTACCCTCCTCTATTTTTATATTGTGTTTTCAAGTTTCAGTATAATTTGAAAATCAAACCAAACATGAAATTTGAAAATCAAATTTGAACACCAGAGGTAAGTAGTGTTTTGTTCTTTCTAACACTTAAACTTGAAAATATGCCATCGGGCTCTAAAATCGTGAAATAGCTATGAGAAGGCCCAGGAACACTTCGGGAGGGACCGATGTAAGTTGTATAAACTTACGGAACTAGCATGAGACTCTTTGTTTGAAAACTATTTAGAAAAATGTACTTTTCTAACACTTAGGCTTGAAAATAGGCCATCGGGAGCTAAAATCATGTAACAACCACGAGCTGGCCCGGGAAACACCTCAAACACCTCGGGAGAGACTAAAGTAAGTTGTGAAAACTTACGGAACGAGCACGGGACTCCCGGTTCGAAAACTAAGTCCAAAAATGCACTTTTTCACATTAAAGCTTGAAAATAGGCCTTCGGGGGCCAAAATCGTGCAACAGCCACGAGACGGCCTCGGGAACACCTCAAACACCTTGGGATGGACCAATGTGAGTTGTGGAAACTTACGGAACTAGCACAGGACTCCCGGTTTGAAAACTAAGTCCAAAAATGCATTTTTCCACACTTAAGCTTGAAAATAGGCCTTCGGGGGCCAAAATCGTGCAACAGCCACGAGACGGCCTGGGAAACACCTCAAACACTTCGGGATGGACCAATGTGAGTTGTGGAAACTTACGGAACTAGCATGAGACTCCCTGTTCGAAAACTAAGTCTAAAAATGCACGTTTTTACACTTAAGCTTGAAAATAGGCCTTCGGGGGCCAAAATCGTGCAACAGCCACGAGACGGCCCAGGAAACACCTCAAACATCTCGGGATGGACCAATGTGAGTTGTGGAAACTTACGAAACTAGCACGGGACTCCCGGTTTGAAAACTAAGTCCAAAAATGTATTTTTCCACACTTAAGCTTGAAAATAGGCCTTCGGGGGCCAAAATCGTGCAACAGTCACAAGACGGCCCGGGGAACAACTCAAACACCTCGGGAGGGACCAATGTGAGTTGTGGAAACTAACGGAACTAGCACGGGACTCCCGGTTTGAAAACTATGTCCAAAAATGCACTTTTTTACACTTAAGCTTGAAAATAGGCCTTCGGGGGCAAAATCGTGCAACAGCCACGAGACGGCCCGGGAAACACCTCTAACACCTCGGGACGGACCAATGTGAGTTGTGGAACTTACGGAACTAGCACGGGACTCTCGGTTTGAAAACTAAGTCCAAAAAAGCATTTTTCCACACTTAAGCTTGAAAGTAGGCCTTCGGGGGCCAAAATCGTGCAACAGCCACGAGACGGCCTGGGGAACAACTCAAACACCTCGGGATGGACCAATGTGAGTTGTGAAAACTTACGGAACTAGCATGAAACTCCCGATTCGAAAACTAAGTCCAAAAATGCACTTTTCCACACTTAAGCTTGAAAATAGGCCTTCAGGGGCAAAAATCGTGCAACAGCCACGAGACGGCCTAGGAAACACCTCGGGACGGACCAATGTGAGTTGTGGAAACTTACGAAATTAGCATGAGACTCCCGGTTTGAGAACTAAGTCCAAAAATGCACTTTTCCACACTTAAGTTTGAAAATAGGCCTTCGGGGGCCAAAATCGTGCAACAGCCACGAGACGGGCCGGGAAACACCTCAAACACCTCGGGACGGACCAATGTGAGTTCTGGAAACTTACGGAACTAGCACGGGACTCCCGGTTTGAAAACTAAGTCCAAAAATGTATGTTAAATTCTATATGTTATGGATAAAATAATAATTGTCTAACTGACATTTTTTTTTTTTGTGTTTCATTTTTTTGCAGATTCGAGATTTGATATGGACGTGTTTGGTAATTTGGAGGGCCGATGATAGTTCATTTTGTGTTTTTGTTCATATTACCTTACATGTATTTTGGTTGTGCTGTAAATTTTATATTTTTATTAGTATTACGGGGCATGTTTGGTAATCTGCCCTTGATATTTTATTTTTGTTGATATTAGTAGACATGTTTTTTTGTGGATATTAGGAGATGTGTTTGGTAATCCGCAAGCGGTTGATATTATATTTTTGTGGATGTTAGTAGACATGGTTTTTGTGGATATTAGAAGACATGTTTATAATCTGCATGCAGTTCATATTGTATTTTTGTGGATGGTGCTGAAATTCGATTGTGATGTTTATGGAAATGAACAGATTTTTGTATTGATTTGTAATAGATATTTTATTGAACATGTTATTGAATAGGCCATCGAACAGGTTATTGCACAGGTTATTCAAATGCGCAGGAAAATTTTACTGAAAAGAAAAAATTTAATTTGAAAATAGTACCCCTCCTTTTAAATTTTTTTAATTTTTATTAGCGACGAAATGAAAAATGTCGCTATTAGTTTTCAAAAAATATGACGAATAATTATGTCGCTAATGATATAGTACGAAACAAATAATTTCATCACATTTGTTGAATATTTCGTCGCTAAATTGAAATATTTGGTGACAAAATGTTTTTTATCATTGAATAATTTTCTTTTCTGCTCATTTTAGTGATGGATTTTTTTGTCACCTTAATCCATATCATTGGTGAGGAAAACTTTTATCACTAAAATCTATTTGGTGACGAAATATTTCGTCACCAAAAACAATTAAAATAAAACATTATTTAGTTTTGGTGACGAAATTGATGTTTTAGAGGGCGAAAAATACAACATTTGGAGACGACACATTTCGTCGCCAAAAATGAAAAATAGGCGACAAAACTGTTTTTCGTCACCAGGTACTTTCAGCGACAACCTATAGGCCACAAACGTCATGACAAATTTTTTTTGTCGCAGATCACTTTAGTGATGAAAATTTGATGTTTGGAGACAAAATCAGTCTACCACCAAAGGCTTTTTTTGTTGCAGTGGTTGAGGATAATACATTTTATTGATTGAATAATACATTTGAGGATGTTAGAGGAATTTATGTTGCATTTTTCGATGTTGGTTAACAGAGAGAAATTTGTATGGGTATGGATCTTATTACAAAAATGGCGTGCCTGTAGTGCGTTGTGTTTAGTATTTTCTCTAAATTTTTTTCTATAATTTCTAGATCAAAGCACTTGTGTTTTTGAAACGTACTTGGGCTAGTGAACTCCAAACGAACACAAACATGGATGATCACCGGGTGTTCAAACGGTGACGTCCAAGTCTTGAGGACAGTCAAAAATGGGGTGTCTACAGGTAGATACTTCGAGGTTTGTGGATTTTTTCCGGACGCACTGGCAAAAGGGTCGGCAGGTGCTGACTTGGTTTTCTGACCCTTTCCGGGTGCATGGTTAGGGTTGGAAGGAACGGTTCTGGTGCGATGGTCCTTATCCCGATTTTCCCCTTGGCTTGAACTGCTCTCACTCTGAGTGGGAAAAGAGTCATCCACAGTTTTTACAGCAACAGCGAGCACCTACTGTTTATTTAGTCCTCCGGCTTTCAAAGCCTCAACAGCTCACAGGAGTTGTTCATAGGGATCGGTGTGCACCTTCACCTTGTTCTTACCACTCACCTCAGCTTGGTGGAAGGTTTGGGTTGCTACATCAGAGCGGAGCCCCTTTGTTGTCGACATGCCATTGCCGGAGCTTGGGATGGCTTCAGGTTGGCTAAGCTCAATTACAATTCGCCCCAATAGCAGGGGCTCTTTCGGCATGAAATTCCCGGCATACGATGCAGTCAGTGGTGGAGCCGACATTTCGTAGGCTAAATCAGCCACAGATCTCTGGAGATCGCCAATCATTCCCATCAACTCAAAGGTGGTGGGCTCACGGGTTTGAAATAACTGGGGTTCCCAGATTGGACGTGCGGCCGATGACCTGGGCGGGTGCTGTACTTCAACATCGGTCTCACCCTGTATTGCGATTCCTTGGTTTAGTACCACTGCCATGACCACAATTTCTTCTGAATTCTGTGTCATCGTGAGTCTGCTTAACTGAACAGAGGGGATGTGACTGGTGGCTGATGAATCTGATGAACCGGTAAGCCTCAACTAGCCTTTTTCTGCCTTGCCTCAGCGAAGGAGAACACTGGTTGCTCTGAACCGAATCTCTAAACTGAAAGAGAAAATAGGCGACATCTCAGCCCAATTTCACCAGAATAGACATAAGCATAGCTGAATAACTGTATTCGACCACTGATCACTGTTCCCCAAATTACTGTCCCAAAACTGAATCAGATACCCGCAGATATAACTGATTTCTCAAAATACTGATGCCCGCAGGCCTGATGCCCAGACTTGCAAACTAATACGTGCATTCCAGCAGAGTCACACTCTAAAAGCAAATAGCAAGCAAACGAGAGCCAAGAACACCCCTATGTTTGGGGTAGGGTTTCCCTGTCCTATTTTGTGGAGCTAGGGTTTCACTACGCACGCAGCGGTTTCAAACAACCTATAATCAAGTAGCAACCTGTCCTAGATTGGAATAGTCACTATGGATTCCGAATATGCACTAGGTCGAATGATCAAAAGGGGTGCCCCGGTTAAAACTGAGGTTTGTGTTCCCATCGTGGCGGAGCCCGCAACCGGTCAGCCTTATGGCACGCTTCTCAAAGCAAGCCTCTGGCAAACCATTCAGGAATAGCATACAGCAAACACGGTGTCCTAGGTGCACCAATGCACATGCAATGCAAAAAAACACATAAGTGTAATCAAAACAAGATATCATGAATTCGAGTCAAGTTCTCTAACTCCCCAGCAGAGTCACCAGAAACTGTAGATGCGCCCTCGGGCTTTATGCTTCTACAGTTCAGACTCAAATGTCACGGTTCTTAATCTGATCTCACAATGTACGATGTGAGATTGATAAATCACCAAAGAGTCCAAATCCGGCAAATCGTTTTGGAAAACTGATTTTTAAGAAAGAAGTGCCAAACATGGACTGCTTTGCCAGATACAGAGTCGCCACCTAAATATTTTATTTTGGGGGAATTTAGGAAACCCTGACTCGTTGCTTAAGGCCATGTGTCCGTCATCACCAAAGTTGCCTCGACTCGGGAACTTGGGTACGATTGGGGAAGGTCATGCAATGAGCACCCCCGCTCACCCGATCAAAGATCGGCCACTACTAAACATGATATCTTGTTTTGAAAACATATGCGTTCTTATTCTAGTTATTAGCTAGAATTACTATGTGATGCGCACAACACACAAGTATAGACTAGATCGCCTAAGTTGGAACAAAAACATCTTGTGTTTGTTTGAAAATGGTTTGGGGGTGCTACTCGCAAGTAGGTTAACACACGGATTTGCCACCCTCAGGTTGGCTTAGAAAACATGATCTTTTGCCACCCCGCAGAGTGGGCTTAAAACACATATTTCAATGAATTGTTCCAATTCAAGTAACCCAGCCTCACCCACAGGCACTTTGGCAGTTATATCACATAAGCTAATAGCCTCATGGCAAGCATGCTATCATGTTAACACTCACACACATGCAAGATGCTTAAGCATAAACACTCACAGTGTACTCCGAGCCAAAACAAAGAATATGTTAGTAATCAATGTATGATCCAAGTCCATGTTAAGATGGCTAATGCATGACATACAAAATGCAACTAGAATAGGCTCGGCTAGTCCAAAATGGCATGTGAGATGCGACAATTCGATACATGTATTCAAATTAGAATTGAAATACAATGCAGTTAGTATGATGCGCCGAGCCCGGTGCATGCAATACAGATGAATGATGTAAACATGCATAGCATAAGGATGCTAATTGAAACGTGCCCTAGAACTAACCATCGTAAGCCGTTAAGTAAAAGGGAGAAAGAAGTGGAGGTTGGAAGACATGCATCACACACACGCACACTTATTACACAATTGCGCCCCCTCGACGGAGGGACCAAAAGAATAACACAAATGCACTAATTAACTAACTAACAAGCTAATTAATTAATTACGCAACACTTAACTAATTAAACAAATTGATTAAGCTACAAAAGCAGTAAAGAGGCCTCGGGAAGAGGGACAAATGCATGCCCGTATGGCTTCGCTCGGAAATCCATCGCCATGCTTCATGTTGCCTCTGTTTGCACTGCTCCGCACCTCTGAAAACTGTGCCAACTTCTATGACACTTCTGAACTACCTTGGGGACACGCTGAGAGTTCATCGGCCAAGAGATAGGACCATCGGCGATGTGGAAACGGTCATCGACCATTTGTGAGGATCTTGACCAAAAATATTTAGCCGATCGGCACTGAAGATGGCCGGTCGGCCATATCTTCTTGCAGAATGTTGTTTTGCTGCAGCAGAGGACAAACAGAGCATGGCAGTGCATTTTCAAAACAATGTATGCACAACCACCCTCCCTATCATGTTATGAAATCAAGGGAGTGTGGTTCTCAGCCCTCGGGCCACCAATCACACATGTCGATGCATGATGGCCAACAGAGCCGAATGTGCAATTCAATATGGAATGAAATGCACATAACACAAAAGGGGGCCCTAACCTCTATCATGGTTGATCAAGAGGCAAGAAATGCAATCATGCAAGAAAAACTAATGCAACATGAAGCATGTCAAGGACAATGCCATACAAGGCTAATGGTAGTAAGCATGCCAAATGCAATGCAACCTAGGCAAGCATGCAAACATGCAAGGCATGTGGCAGCATTCAAGGGTAAGCAAGCATACAACAACATGCAAGGGACAATACATGCAAACATGCAAAGCAACTTAACAAAAGTGGCATGCCAAATGCAACATAACTCAAGCATGCAACAACATGCAATATGCCAAGTATGAAACAACATGCGAGGCAAGCATGCAACAACATGCCAGTCTCAGAGCGTTTAGGCCAAAATCGGGAAAGTTCACCTTTTTCGAGCCGTCTAAAGTGGCTATCCAGTCTCGGAGCCTATTGTTGAGAAGGATTTCCATTTTTGAGAGCAAAATACCAAATTCTTGCTATGCTACTAGGAAAACAGCTTGGGATCACTTTTTATAGACTTTGAAAAGGAGCAATGT